TCTCTCTCTCTCTCTCTCTCTCTCTCTCTCTCTCTCTCTCTCTCGTTTAGAAGCACTGCGTTTAGCAGGAATAAGCTTCCTGAGTACCAGTACCGAAGTTTGGAGGAACCGTTATGTCTGACAAATGTGACTCACCTAGGGAGTCACCCAAACAGGGTACAATGCCCAACAGAGGAAAGGGCAGATACTTTAAAAGTTTAGTTATTTAAGTAAATAGCTATGCTGTAAAAACTTCATTGGACTTTAATGTCGTTAGTGGTTTTGTAAGACCTTAAATGTTTTAAGATGTCAGGACAATGCTCAGGAGGATTCTATTTGCAGAGAGAAGTTAACTGAGACCTGTCAGTTTGGGCGGCATCTTTACCTTGAAAAAGAAGAAGAAAAGAACCACAGGCAGATGCATGCTTTCTGTGTGGTGCAGCCTTGCTTATGATAGGCTGGGGAAATCCATTCCATCTCAGGTTGCCAGGCATTTGGTTTCAAATGTCAGATGACCGGTAATTTGGTGTTTCTAATTCCTTTCCTGTATTCTACAGATGTCAGCGCTGGGAGACTGCACAGCTGTGACAGAGAGATGACTTGAGGAGACAGCGTCTATCTTCACAACAATGTCCATGAACAGTTCCAAGCACCCAGTGTCGCCTGCAGCTGGGCTTCTCGTAAACACAACCTGCCACACGGAAAACCGGATTTCAGTATTTTTTTCCATCATCTTCATGACAGTGGGGATCTTGTCGAACAGCCTGGCCATCGCTATTCTTGTGAAGGCTTATCAGAGATTTCGACAGAAGTCTAAGGCATCCTTCTTGCTTTTGGCTAGTGGCCTGGTCATCACAGACTTCTTTGGCCACCTCATCAATGGAGGCATAGCAGTTTTTGTATATGCCTCTGATAAAGACTGGATCCGCTTCAATCAATCAAATATCCTTTGTAGTATTTTTGGCATCTCCATGGTGTTCTCTGGATTGTGCCCACTTTTTCTAGGCAGCGTGATGGCCATTGAACGGTGTATAGGAGTCACCAACCCCATATTCCATTCTACAAAAATTACATCCAAACATGTGAAAATGATATTGAGCGGTGTGTGCTTGTTCACTGTTTTTGTAGCTTTGCTGCCCATCTTTGGGCACCGAGACTATCAAATTCAAGCATCGAGAACCTGGTGTTTCTACAACACAGAACACATTGAAGATTGGGAAGATAGATTCTATCTTCTGTGTTTTTCTTTTCTGGGCCTCTTGGCTCTTGGTGTTTCGTTTCTGTGCAATGCCATCACAGGGATTACCCTTTTGAGGGTGAAATTTAGAAGTCAGCAGCACAGACAGGGGAGGTCTCATCATCTTGAGATGGTCATCCAGCTCCTGGCCATAATGTGCGTCTCCTGTATCTGCTGGAGTCCATTTCTGGTAAGAAGCTAAAGTGTGACAGTTTCTGCTTTCTTGAATTTATCCAGGTTCCATGAAGGCTTGTTGTCTATATCAAAGTTGTTGGTCTGGGATGCCAAGCTTTTAAACGTTATACAAAATTGACTTCAGCACTCAGCGCTGGCTTAGAATTAAGCTGTTTGACCCATGTGTTTATTTTTCTAAAGGCCCAGTAGTAAAAGAAATGTGTTGCTAAATAATTCTAATCATAGCACTTCTTGATTATGTGTCAGGCAGCGTATAGTAACAGGAGTAATATTTTCAATGTAATGAATGTGATTAGCTCTAAAATATGAAAAACAAAATGACCAACAGAACATTGAAGCAGAGTCCAATGTGTTTTGATAGAAAGTGATACAGACTTTTAATCTGCAGACAGAGCAACTCGTGGGCTAATTAAACATGTAAAGATGAAGTCACAACTTGCAAAGTTTGAGGAGCCAAGAGAGATGATAGTTCAGGTCAACCCTATGGACAGTCCAAATGAAGGCGCTAGTTCACCAACCTGGAGAATAATGAGCTGAGAGTGAGGGGAGAGGTCGGACTGGAGGGAGAGTGGGCACTCTTCCCTTCTACTTCTTTCTTTTAAAAAATTTTGTAGTCAGCATGTACATTCCAGCTTGACCTGGAAATAAAGGCTGCGGTTAAGGAATTAACAACAAAGCAAATCACTCACATTTTCTTCTGGATAGAAGAGAGAAAACTTATAAGAGAAGTTGTGACCTGAACTCATTCCCTACATTGGCTTTGTGATGAGAGGAATGACAGCATGCTGTGAAAGAGAAAGGAAAGGTCTGTAGGAGGAAGGGACAGGGCCAAGAGTTTTCATCCCTACCCCCACAGTGATGGGAAGTGGGCTGGCATATGGAGATAAGCTTACAGGTTGCAGGAAGGTGTGCATGGGCAGGAGAGAAGGGCAGAGGTAGAGGAGCATGGTGTGGTTGTCGCTAAGATCTTGTTCGTGATGCATTTTCTCCTGGGTCCCAAATGTACTGGTTGTCTGAGAATTGAACCCCATGAATCTTTGAAACAACCCAGATGATCTTGATGAGTACAAAAGTTTACAATACAGCTCCTGCTCAGCAGCCAGGGGAAGAGATGATTTTTTTTTAATAAAAGGACTTCCTTTATGATTATGTACTTACTTATATTTAAATCGTTAAATTATTTTAAAATGTTTTGAGAGCCCTGAGTCTGCCTACCCAGGAGAAGCCAGCCTCTGGCAGCCTGTGTGCTGTGACTTTATGCCATATGTGGTAAATGAAGGCCAGAGTAATGTCCTTAGTAACATCATGTGAGAGTTGAGGGACACAGCTCTACCATTATGAACCACATTGGTGGTCATTTTAGGTGACTTAATTTAAATGTGTGCTGCTTGACACAAAGAATTTCATGAAGGCAATGATATTTTTTCTTGTTCTTAAAATAAAGTAGTTTTAAAAAATATAGAATGAGTCCGACTGAATTGAGATTAGTTTGGAGAAGGTAGAGGGAAATGAATCTGGAAGGAGTCCTGAAACCAGATAGCGATTTAAAGGAGGGATGAATAATGCAGACTACTGAGGCAATCACTGGCTTTGTTTATTTCTTCTGAGTCATCCTAAAAGTCTGTTTAGCTCTAATCTTGACTTTGAGAAACAGAAGTAAAAGATTAACTACTGTAGAACCGTGGAAAGAAGCAAAATCTCAGACCCTGCCATGGATATTTTGAATTTACGCTTTTCTCTGGTCTTCTTTGCAGCATTTTTCGTTCTTTTCTTGTTAGAATAGATACAATTTCATTCATATTTTAACTGCATTTTCCAATGGGGTTTGTTTTCGTAAGATGTTTTTCTTTTTAAATTAGCATGCTAAGTAACAGATGTTCATGGAACATTTTCTTTACTTTCTCTTTAAGAACTAGTGATACACCCACATCTGTATCAATACTTTAAAGATGCTTTTCAGTATGTGAATTCTTTCTGGGGTAGGTGCATGGGGGGTACACCGCAGGTGCTTCTCAGGGCGTTGATATTTTGTGTGGTTTCAACCATTTTTGTGATTTAATTTTTTTTAGTTTTTTTCATTTTTTTAGAATTTCATGCATGAATATTGTATTTACATCATTTCCACCTCCCTTTCTCCTCCTCCAACTCCTCTCACATTCCTTCCAACTCCCTCTCAATATCCTGATTTCCCCTTTAATTGTTAACACACACACACACACACACACACACACACACACATACACACACAAGCAGCCTACTGAGTCCATTCAGTGTCTCTATCATGTACATGGGTTTAAGGCTGACCATTTGGAACAGTTAACCTACCAGAGGGCTTGTCCCTGGAGAAAACTGATTCTCCATCCCTCGGCATCGATTGCCTGTAGTTCCTCATCTGGGCCTAGAACCTTGTAAAATTTCCGCATCCGCATTGGTGTGTTGGCTGGTATTGTCATTATAAATTGTTGAGATTCTGGGTGAAGCTTTCCTATCACATCTGGAAGACACTAAGAGCAGGCATCCTGGTCCTCTGGATCTTAAATCTTTCTGCTTTTTCTTCTGTAATATCCTCCGAGCCTTAGTTGTAAAAGTTATATTTTAGATGTATCAACTAGGGACCCCACAGTAACATATTCTCTGCATTTTGGCCAGTTGTGTCTCTCTGTCACAAAAAGAAACTTCTTTGATGGGGGTGAGAGTTATATATGTCTGTTGTCTGTGGGTTTAAGGATAAGTTTTTTGTTCTTTTTTGGTCTTTTTGAGACAGGGTCTCCCTGTAGCCCCAGCTGGCCTGGACCTCACAGAGATCTGCCTTCCTCTACCTCGAGAGTGCTGGGATTAAAGGTGTGTACCATCGTACCTGGCTAAGTATACTTGTCTGTGGGTTTAAGGATAAGCTTTTAGAATACAGTTAGATATTGTATTGGTTTAGGGAAATGGCAATAGTAGGTTCTCCAGCGGGGTCAATGACCTCTGTAGTCCCTGGCATTTGGCTAGGTTTACATGCATGAATTACCTCCTATTGAGTGGGCCTTAAGTTCAGTTAGCCAGTTCTTGGTTACCCCCAAGATAAAAGTGCCACCATTAGGGATATCTTGCTGGGTCAGGCGTTATTGGGGTTCTTAGTCTTTACAGATGGATGTGTAGGACTATTGATTTCTCCCTTGGGAGCTTATGTAGCACCTTTTCCAATACTATGAGAGCTAGTCCTCAGGGAGGAGGCTTCCAAATCAGTCGCAGCTCAATTCCCCAAAGTCCCGTGTCTCTGAAGTGTGTGACATCTTCAGCAATAGGATTTTACCTTCAAGTTCTAGGAGGCAATCAAGGGCTACAGTAATAGCCTACATGGTCTTAGGAGTTTCCTTGGCTATCCTGACCAACAACTTGAAGGGAGGTTTCCCATGCCTGGCACTGAGGTTTTTGTTAGATCCCCTACAGTTCTTGGGAGTTGCATTATTACTTCATCTGGCATAAATCTATTTGAAATATATATGCATATATTTACATTATACATATGTATATATTATATATACATTATGTACATATATATTAAGTATGCTTATGAATATTTCCCTATGTTTTTTTCAAACGTCCTTGGTATTATCTCCCCTTCCTCCCTCTCCTTGTATATTACCATCCCTTCCCTCTCCCCAGTTAAAGTTCCCCCATTTCCCATTTCCCCCTTGATATCACCTGTTCATCTGCGTCCTACTCACCCCCTCTCTAGAGCTCCTCCCCCCACCCCCCATCGTCTTTTTTTTCCCTGGCTTCTGAGCTTTCTAAAGTTATATACTCATTTCTAAAGACTCAACTATTCTTGAAACAACTTTCATGCCTGTTTTGTTGTTGTTGTTGTTGAAAGTTGGGCCCCTGTGACAATCTCTGACCATCACAGATGTATAACTTTTGTGGCCTAGATATAAGTGTCTTGGGGATTCAGGTAAGGTAATCAAAAAGGTATGTGACCCAAGTAAAAATCGGAGGCTTGAAAATACAAAAAGTGCTACTGCTGCTGCTTCAGTGAAATATTTTCCAGTTTTTCCTTACATGTTGAGGAGGATTTCCAAGGATGTTAATGACTAAGCCATCATTCTCCCATCCCTACTCCCTTATATTTTAAACTTGAGGTCTTGCTATATAGCTCATGGTGGCCTTAAACGCCTCCTGATCCATCTACCTCAGCCTCTCAAGTAGCTGGGATTTTACGGGTGTACAATCATGGTAGCTTCTTAATTTTTAAAGTACCCCTGGAGCCAAGTTTTCAGATTCCCACGTGTGTACTGTGCTGGTATCAGCTTCCAGGCCAGTGTGTCACTTTATTTATACCTTGAGTCTTTTCTCTATGTGATCATTGTGAAAGGTTGGGTTTATAACTTGAATTAAGATCTGCACATACTGTTCCACCTGTCACTGGCATCTTTTAGCCCAAATCTAAAGCAAAGGTAGAAGTGCTTAACTAGCAGAAGGAAGTAAGGTCCAGATGTTGGTGTCTGTGTCTGACAGGCAACAGCATACCAAAACATCAATACTTTATAGTTTGTAAAAATATTTAAATTTGCACCTGAATAACTATTTTGAAGGTTGAATTTTAACCAATTCAAAGGTAAAATGATCATGATCTATCATGATGCTTGCTTGAATTCTATGTTTTTAATAAAAGGTTAAATTTTTTGAGGAGTTTTAGGCTTAAAGAAAAATAAGCGGGGAACAGAATTCACATATTATTGTCCCTTTCTGCCCTTATTATTAATATTTTGTATTGGTGGTAATTTTTTACAGTTGATGAGTCAATGATGTAATTTATTATTAGCTAATTTATAATGTGGCTCACATTATAGTTCTGTCTGTGTTAATTAGACTAACACATGAGGATACCATGTGTCTGCCTATACAATGAAGAATAGCTTCACTGTCCTCTCACTCTCACTGTGACTTTTATCATGTGATACATTTTATTTCACAAGGAGAAAAATAGGCTTTACTTTCCCCAGGAACTCA